GAAACACCTTCTGGGAACACAAGTAACACCAACACAACCTTCAGCAACCTTCAGGGTCTTATCACGGAAGGTCTCCTACATCACATTAGAATCAGCAGTAGCACCCAAGTCTGCTCACAAACTGCTTGCAGACTCATTAGAAACAGCCTGATCTTGGAGTCTGGCCAGGCCCAGCCTCATTCTCCTAGTAGGTGGTAGCCTACTGGATAAGCTGAATCTTCAGAGTAGCAACAACAAGTTTGTGGTCAGAATTCACAAACTGGGCACTTCTGTAGACCCTGCACTTCTGTAGGAGACTCCAGCATCTGCCCACAAGAATGTGATCGATCTCCTTTACCACACCTCTAGTACCAAGCCAAACGATGCAGCTCAGGGCACTGGAACCAGGATCCAGTGACCTGCAGCCCCTGGCCTTTTGCAAAGTCACTGTTTTCATCTGAATACTCATTTAAGTTCAAAGACATACAGGTAAGCTAACTGGTATCTCTAAGCAGGCTTGGCTCCTGCTTTGACAAGTTGGATGGGCCTCAGGATTATCTAAAGATAAAGATGCTTTATTGTCATTGTACAAATACAATGAGATTTTGTTTGGAGCGCGCCAGCAGATACACAGTAAAAAAATTACAATAAAATCCAAAGAATAAAATATGTACACACACACACACATATACACACATTCACAGTGATAAGGTGCTGGTAAATTAGTGCAATATAATCATACTCATGATTATAATCATACTTATGATTTCGTATAAAGTGCAGTGCATGAGCAATTTCGCAGAGGTAGAATTATAGTTATACAGCAGGTTTAAGTAGACAAATATTCAGAATGTTAGAGATGAGTGCTTTGAATTCAGAAGTGTGATAGCTGTAGGGTAGAAGCTGTTCCTCAGCTGGGTCGTGCGTACGTACAGGCATGGGCCAAGCTTCTTCCGGGATTCCGGAAGTGTTCTCACTAGTATGGCTGGAGCAGGCGCTGATTGACACCATCTAGCAAGTCGGCTCCAGCCTGGTGGACCTCGAGATGGCAGTGAAGCGGTGAAGCAGGAGAGTTGGCGGTTCCGGAGAGAAGATGGCCAGCTTGGGAAAGCCCGTCTGCTGGAGCTGTGGCAGGTAGGGGCACCAGGTACTGTATGCTATTGCCTGAAGGCCAGAGTTGCTGGCAAATGAGCAAGGAGCGACGGAGCGAGGAGAATGCTGCTCCGTCCTTCTGGGGTAACCCTGACCCGTGCAGTGCGTCCTGAAGCTGGCCCACTGGAGCCCCGTTCTGCTGCAGTGCACCTGGAAGTCGCTGCTGCCAGCTGCCCTTGGCATCCCACCGAAACCCAGCCCTGCTGCAGCGTGCCCTGAAGCCACTCCTGCCATTCCATCAACTCCCCATCTGAGATGGCATTGGACCGGGGAAGGCGGGAGCTTCTTGACACTCTGCTTGTTCACCAGCCAACTAAGGCTCACTGCTCGCCAGCCGCAAGAAGCGGTGTAACCCTAGCTGCGAGCATGCCCACTGGAGGCAACAAGCTTAGGCTGCTCTGCTCAGTTGGGATGAGGCATGTTGGGGGCCCAGCTAGCTGAGAAGCAGCATATATTGAACGAGCAGCGGCAGCAGAGTCAGCAGGAGTGGTGGGAGCTGGAGCGTGACTGCCGGGCATGTCTGGCCGAGGCAGCAGAGGCGGCATTACGGGCCCACGAGATGGCACTGCTCGGCCAGCCTGCTGCACAACATCAGGGCCCCACTAAGCTAGGTAGGAAGAAGGGCCGGGGCTAGGAGAAAGCCACACTGCTGGCAGTCCCATGCACTGGCTGTCCCCAGAGAAGGGTGCCTGGCTGTGGGAGTTGCTGGGTGTGAGGTGGCCTGGCCAGATAGACCCCCTGGAAGGGGTATTAGGTCCCCTTAAGGTGCACAAGGAGAAGGGCTGTTGCCGGGGGGGGACCTGCCACGCTAGTGCCTGCCAGCAGCTGAGCCTTGCCGTTGCCCGTGAGCTGACATCCCTCCCTCCCCTTCATTAGAGCCACTGGCAGCTGCCACAGGACCCCTGGGACTTTGCTTCAGAACTGAGGTGGGGATTGGGGGTGGTGGTCTGCAGGACAGTGGACCTTTGTTGGGGGGGGGGCAGTGGCGGGGTCAGCATATCCCAGAATGCTCACGGGCAATATAAATAGCCCATCTGTAATTGTACATAGCCCTTGAATTGTTGTTATAGTTATAGTTGCCTTGTATGTTTGCCCGTGTCTTGTGTGTACCCTGTCTGATCCTCACTGCACATTACAGTTTGATGTCTGACCACCTTGTGAGTTGAGAGTTTCCCTTCTGTTGTCATAAGTTGATATGCTGGTCATGGATCAATCATATGTTTTGCACAGTCATGTTTTGTTGTTTCCTTTTACATAAGAACATAAGAAATTTACAAACGAGAGGAAGCCATTCGGCCCATCACGCTCATTTGGGGAGAACTCAACTAATAGCTCAGAGTTGTTAAAATCTCATCTAGCTCTGAGCCCAAGGTTTTAGCTTGAACTACACTAGCAGGAAGACTATTCCAAACTCTAACTACACACTGTGTAAATAAGTGCTTCCTCAAATCCAGTTTAAAATGTTTTCCCACTTATTTCCACTTATGGCCACAAGTCCTTTGCAGTTAAATGAGTGTAATAAATGTTTACATTTAAGAGAAACAAAAAAATTGATACAAAGAATCGTGATCTCAATTCTAAGCAAATGAAATGCAATTCACATTTTTTTCCATAATCGTGCAGCCCTACTCTAAACTACCTATGACATATAACTGAGTGTGTATGTGCCCTGTGCTGGACTGGCATCCCATCCACATTGTGTGCCCTGTGCTGGACTGGCATCCCATCCACATTGTGTGCCCTGTGCTGGACTGGCATCCCATCCACATTGTGTGCCCTGTGCTGGACTGGCATCTCATCCACATTGTGTGCCCTGTGCTGGACTGGCATCCCATCCACATTGTGTGCCCTTGCTCCTTGGGATAGGTTCCAGGCCCTTGTTTTTCAGTTTGTAGCTCAGCAGATTAAAGATCTGTGTCCTTTTCTGGAAGATTATGGGTTTAACTGTCATGTCCAGCAAAGTATGATATCACCACTGGACCTACACAGAGGTCAACATATATAAGGAGAGTATGACCAGATCTTATTCACCAATTTGAGCGAATTCAGTGGATTACCCTAAATGTAACTATTTCATTATCCCTGGATTTTTCCCAGAATTAGGTTTCTTTAGATCTGAGGTCTCTATCATGTCGACTGAGTGGAAAGTTCAAGTTTTAACCTGTTTTCACGAGTGACAAGTTGGCTTTTGTCAGTGGTTTCCTGGGAGTGGCTGCCTGAAGGGACGCTTCTGTTAGCAGACTCTCCATGTCTGTGCGCCGGACTGCCCTCCCACACTTATATAATAGTCATGGTCACAATGGAAGGAAGCAAGCATGCTAGATATAATTTTTTTCATTCAAACTTGAATTTAAGCATATAAAAAGTATGTAATTCTGAATCTTGCAGGTGCAATATATGCCTAATTAGTGTGAAGTGGATAATATAAATACAACCAATAATTTATCATTTAGCAGAACATTGTCAAAACATCAGCTGAGTAAGGCTGTTTATCTGATTTAAATCCCGTAGCATATGAAGCCATGAATGCCAGAGTGGCCTGAAAATGAGTCTAAAAATTTTCCATTAAAAAATTAATAGAGAAAGGTATATTCTTAGAAATAAATTCCTGTGGGCAAAATCTACGGCACATAATTTCCTTTTTCTTCGTGGAGCTATGTGCTGAAAAGGTTGGAACAAAACTGAGAACTGGAAGCCATCTAGGGGACACAGTTTTCGCATATCCCATCTGGCACTCCATAAGACACCCATCAGGGCACAGGGCCCCTGAAGCAATTAGGTAATAGCCTTGCTCAAGGGCCCAGTGGTGGCTGGCCACAGGATTTGAACAATAAATCCTTCTGATCACAGGCAGGGTGCTACCCTGCGGAATCAAACTGAACAGCCTGACCTACAGACATACATTAAATGACCATAATACTAAATATTTGTGATGGAATGCCACTGGAATGTCTGGGAACCAACAGCCAGGAGTGTGGTTACTGGAAGATAATCCCAGGGGCAGCATCCCAGCTGTAACTCTATTCAGGCCCTCAGTTCAGGGTGAGCCTGAGGATCGAGGGCAAAGGACTGTCAACCTTGGGGCTGCTCCCATGGACACATGCGGCCTAGCCGTGAGCACGCTTAGATGCCGAGGGCCTGCATCATGACCTACTGCTGACTTTGAGTAGAGCGGATCCTTGTGTTTGGGGTTTTTCCTGTTGTCTTAATAAAGTGTTTCTCTGCTGGGCCCAATTCCCCTTTGCTACTAACCAGTCTTTCATCCCACCACAATATCATAAAAATCTTGTCTTATATTATGGGTAAATATCTTACGTAGGGTAATCAAATGTTATGTTTATCAATTTATGTAGATAAATGTTTTGTGTTTTACGTCTATATTTGATTAGTCAGAAGTGGAAATGTTTTTCTTTCTTTTTTTTTACAACAGATAAACAAAAATAATTTAGGTGTTTATATGAAAACATACTCAGTTAATCAGAAAAAAAAATATGATGATTTAGGTTTGACCAAACAAATTCCATTTCGGAACATTGGTATTGTAATGAGTATACTACAAACAACTGGGAGAAGCTCACTTATATAAAGTGTTACATAAGTAACTACTCCCGTTTTTAGGTTACTTCAAGCAACACAATATTCAAAGAACAATCACGACCCTCTCCTGTTCTATACTTTTGGAAAAAGGTGTATCTTTTTATAAGCACTTCAAAAATTATTTCCCCAAAGTTAAAATTATGATTTTGTAACAGACCTGATATAGAACGGTGAATCTTCCTGTTCTATTCCGACAGTCGCTGGTAAGTGGTTATACAACGTTTCGTGTAATTATATAAGCGGGCCACAAAGCGGACCAATAGGTTCATGACTCGGCAGTCACGTGTTGCCTTTGACAGACACACACAAACTACTTATACTTGGTACTTCACAAAGGAATTCCCGGAGTAGCAAGAAAATCAGTGGAAATGAAATATCCAGCAAACGCGCCTTTCTGTCTATGAAGTGTAGAGTCGGGGACGAGTTTATAAAATCGCCCTCGTGTATCTAAAGTAGTTTATTCAAACGGGAATTCGCAAATGTTGCCAGCTTCCTTTGTTAAAAACTAGATCTAAGATTATATTTGTCCCTAAGATACGTCAAAGCCGCGTACGATCTGCAGCAATGTTGGACTGGAAGTTACATCTGTCGCAAACCTCGTGTTTCTTGCATGACTGGCTCCCGGGTTTTGAATGAGTGAGTAACCCCGTGCTCGCCACGCCGAAACGCGGGGACACGTTGTTGAGGCTGTCGCTCGAAAGTGGACGCGAACAAACCGGAGAGGAAGACTGAGAAAGTCCGGTCGGGATCTTCGTCGCACCGGCTGTCACTCCCCCTCCGTTGTTTTATTACCTCATACCGTGAGAGGCGTGGAAAGGCACCGACAGACCGCCCTCTATGCTCCGTGAGAACTGGAAAGCACAAAACATTGTCTCCCAAACACGTCGGCTTGCCGCCTGCCCCCTTTAGGGCTTTTTTCTATTCTTGTTTCTTTTTCCGGTGGGGGAAAACAGCTGCGTTTTTTGACGTTTTTCCTCCTTTTTCCGCGTCCCTGGGATCCTATGGTTTTTTTATTTGGGTGTTTTTATTTTGGGAAGGATGGGGGGGGTCTTATGTGAGGCTGGGAGCTCCTGTGTTCGGGATGAGGCCTAACTAGTGCCGTTTGCCCCACTTAGTTGTATTTCAAGGGGGGAGGAAAATGAAAGTCCCGGTACCAATGGGCAAACGATCGCGGAACCTTGATGGTCTATTATTTTGACAGGGAATTATTTTCCCCTGTTGTCTGTGTGTGTTTTTCTTTTTCTTTAAGGTATTAGGCTGTTTACAGTCGCTGGTTAGCCTCCTGGCTAACTAGGCACACTCCGTTTCCGATTAAAATGGAGACAGGAATCCAGCAGCACACAGAGCAGTTTGTCCATGACATCTCTAACCCGGGAGCTCCGGGTTTATGCCCAGAAATGCTGGAGGTGGCAGAGGAAGCCTGTCGAGCCGGAGATTTCGACCTGGCAGCAGAAATCTACGGTTCTCAGCTGGCCGATCTTCAGCAGCCCGATCGGGGGCTTTGTCTCCGAAGAGCGGACTCTTTGGTCCGAGCAGGACGGATAGCCGAGGCTCTCGACTCCTACTGCACCGCTGCTAATTTGAAGAAACTCCGGCCGGAGGAATTAGGACTTCTGGTAGAAAATATCGCCCGGACCCTGCGGGAGAAAGAGCTCCCTGCTTGGGGGAAGGAGAGCAGTCATCAAAGCGAACCGTCTAAAAACCCACAGAAGCCTGAGACCAAAGCAAGCTCCAAATCTTCCGGGAACGGGGGCACCGAGTGTGGCGGAGAAGCGCCAGAGGACGAGCAACCTCTGGACCTGTTTTCCTGTCACATTTGCAAATTGTTGCTGTCCGAACCCACAACCTTACTGTGCGGGCACACTTTCTGTAAGCGATGCTTGGAGGACGACGGCGTCAGTGAGTGCAAAAGCTGCAGGTACAAACTGAACAAAAAGGACGCACAGATCCAGCCCGTTGGCTTCAGGGTTAACGTGATTCTCAGCAGCCTGCTGGAGAAGTGGTTCGACTCGGAAAGTAAAGCCCGGCGATACTGGCTAGAGGGGGAAGCTATGTGGAGGGAAATGAGCTTAAAGGACGCGATGGACAAGTACAACAAGGCTGTAGAATTAAGTAAGTGAAGTTTTACTGTGTAGTATAATGTATATAACTCTTTTGGTATTTTCATCTCCATTTATGATTGGGGTGCGATGATACAATCACAGATCTTTGTGCTGAAATTGGAGTAGACTGAGTGACCTACTTTTATCGCTCTTACCCAGTTTCTGACGCCAGGGGGCAGTGTCGCACGTGTCCAGTGGCAGTGGCCTATTTAACTCCTGGAAAGTAGACAGCTAGCCTTTATATACCGGCCAATTAAAGACGGTACTTTATGTTCTGATGCCTGTGCACGGTTGTATTTCAAGTCACAACTGATGTGATATAATAATTTGAGTACCGTATCTCTTTTGGATTTTGCCATTATAATCGGGTCAGTTACTTTCAAACGTCCCACCAAAAAAGAATGCCTTTTATCCAAACAGCTTTGATTGTCTGCTTTGAGTGATAGGACACAGTGGTTGACGATTCTGATTTAGGGGTCATTCTGTTGTCTTCAAACTAATGTAACCCTGGAAAAGATACTATCCACACCAGCTACATGTTCTTGCACTAATGGGGCTGCATTCTCTCCCGAGGCTTTACCTTTAGTGCTTTGTCTAAAGGTTTTCATTATCAAGACATTAGATTATGGTCAATCCTTGCTTGTTTTAGGTTGTCCCTTATATGCCTGATGTGGTGGATCTTGATGCTTGGGGGGCACACCAAAATGCTTATTTTAGCTCAAAATCTGTACTCTATTTTCAAATTTGATGTCAGCAAAATTGAATTTACTTAAATGTTTAATCCTGTGATGCATGACAAATAAAAGCTTTGTAACAACTAGGTCAGCAGCCCCTTGCTGGTGCTGATCAGCATAATGAAAGAGCACGGTACATGTCAGATGGATTGTGTGTGAATCCCCATCTGCCCTGATGCTTCCTCAAGGGGCCTCTGACCCACATACTGTACCAGCCTGTAGATCTGCTGGGCGGCTGGCTAAGACTCACCTGTGTTATGCGTTATAGGGGTAGGTCCACAGGCCCTTTCCCATAGAGCCCTTAATTAGGAGGAGGTGAAAAGTCCCTCCCATAAAGCAAATCCCCACCAAGACACAGTGCCGACTCCCAGAAGCTTGTCAGTAGAGATGGAGATCAGCCGATTGCTGGAGACTCTGTAATGAAGGAGTTACTGATCTGTGTGTAAAACCTCAGAACTACTACCACCAACGAAGATGACATCATAATTAATAGTAAATGAATAAATAGTGTCGGGGGCATTTGGCATCAGTGCATAAAGGCAATGTTCATGATGGGAATGGCACAATTTAAAATGTGTTGAGTTCCCTATTGCCTTTGTCTGACACCCGGGACTTGGACAGACTCAAAGCACACAGCAGTGCGAATGGAAACGTTGGCGGTTCCCTTACAGCAGGCCGTGTGTGTTTGTTGCACACCTCCCACACAGGGATAGGCACTGTGGGCGACTAATTATGCCATGGTTATCTTCACATACGGTAAACAAATCTGTCTGAGCGACTGCAAGCATGCGTGCTGATTCATTCCCTCAGTGTGAAGGGAAAGAGAACCTGCCCCAGTCTGGCGATACGAGCAGTGCGCCACCACCGCCAACCCGTCTCTAGCACTAACCTCAACGCTGAAGGCGGAAGTAGGGCAGGAGCGAGTCATCTCAGGCCATCTGTGGCTTGTCAGTTACTTACTTGGGATTATTTACTGCAGGGTTTTGTGTCACAGCTTGGCAAATTTCTGTACTTCAATCATTATATTGGTATTTCAGGAGTATTAGTGAGAGCTCATACTTGTCATTACAAAATCTACTTTCAGACCCTCCTTACTTTAAGCTGTATTTTTTCACCCTCGCAGCACCAACTGATGTCATACTTCTTGGTCAGCGTGCCGAGCTCCATATGGAGATGCAGAACTTCACTCAGGCGCTCAAGGATGGCGACGCCATGTGCCGACTCCACCCTCACCTGGCCAAGGTACAGCCCCCTGAGTGCAGGGACTCCGCCTCTGTCTGCCTATGGTACAGCCCCCTGAGTGCAGGGACTCCGCCTCTGTCTGCCTATGGTACAGCCACCCTAGTCTAGGGACTCTGGGTGCGTTCGACTTGTCAGCTGCAGACAGACCTAAGCCCGTGACATGGAGTGAGATCTGCCGGTGGCTGCAGGGCTGGAGTATAAACTGACTGGTGTAAATAAATCTATACAAATATCACCTGCATCCACATTGCTTCTTTTACAATGACCAACTCCTGATCCAAACTGTTAGCAGTGAAAAAGAATATTGTATATAGTGGCTCTGTGTAAAAAGATAGCTGCCAGGAAAAAGATCAAATACATTTACTTCAGGGATTCAAAGTTTTTATTGTCATGTACAGAGTACAATGCAATTCTTACTTGAATGCCTTCTTCACAGACTGGACGATTAAACAAATAAAGCAGCGCAACATTACAGTACCTAACAATAAATAACTAACTTATGTGTAGAGCATTTATTTAATTTATTTAGACTTTATTTTACCAGGTAAATTAACTGAAAGCCAGTTCTCACTGCTTTACGTGCTTTTTGGGAGAAATAGCACATAATGCATCGGAACTGCCTGGGATACAAACGTCATGTGTGTGACTAAAATCTTCAGCCAATAAGGGCAAAGGTGTGTCGTCACGGAGGCGGTTCGATAGTGTGCAGCCGGCTGAGAGGTGCTGCACGATCTGTCAAGTCGTCTTGCTCTCGCGAGGTTTTTGTACCATGTGACATGGTGATGGGTGGGGACGTTTTGCAGCGTCAGCTGAAGCCGGACAAAAAAATCTAACCATGATGCATTGCGCCGGGACCAGAATACATTGCTTTAAGCCAGCACTGTAAGCGGCTGCATGAAAGTGAACGCACCCAATGTCTCTGTCTGCCAAAGGTACAGCCCTCCCTGAGTGTAGGGATTCTTCCTCTCTCTGGTTAAGGTGACCCCCCCCCCCCCCCCGAGTATAGCAGGTTCCACCTCTTTCTGGCCAAGGTACAACTGCTCGTCACATTGCCTGTAACTTGCTTAATTTTGTCACCTGAGAATTGCATTAAAAATGCTAATTGCTCACTCTTTCGTCCCATGTGTCTCTGCTTACTCTGATTGCATCCTGGTCAGGGCGCATTCTGTATGGGATGCACACTGGCAGTTGTTGACTGAGGGCTGCTTACAAGCAGTGTTACTCAAGCAGCATGCCTGTGCACGTGTAGGGATAAAGCAGAGTAGCTGTAGGGAAGCACATGGCCATGACGTGAGCACAAACAGGGCTGTATGCAGCCCCACACCACACTGACTCACTGCAGTGTGTGACGTTTCTGCCACAGATATGTGGTCCAGTGTCATAATCCTAGCTTTAGGATGCAGGCCAGATAATCACCAAGTGCGGGGACAAGGGGATCGGTGATCATGCACATGCCGACGCGAGCATATGCATACGGCAGCATATGCTTGGCGGCGTAAGCGGATCAGCCGTCCGTGTGGCTGCCACCCTGCTCTTCCTGCCCGCTGGAGAGCTGGCCTTTGTCTTGGGTTGGATGAAGTTGCATGATGTCAGGACCCCCAGCTTCCACCTGGCTTCTGCACCTCATGTTCGCTCCCCCCACCCCCCCCACCCCGCGCTCGGCTTCACAGGCTGCCCGTCGTTGCCGTCCTGCGGCCTGTCTCACACCAGCCTGTGTCTGCAGGCTCACAGCATGAAGGCTGCGGCGCTGAGCAAGGCGGGGCGCCATGAGGAGGCCCTGCAGGAGTACCTGCTCTGCACTGCGCTCAAGCCCCACTGCATCTCCGTCAAGATGGAAGCACAGAAGGTACCATCATGCATTGGGGCACTCTCTGCCGTATGCTCTGCTCTTCTTTAGCTTCCTGTCAGGCTCAGTGAGCTCCCCATGTGTCCGGCAGATCCTCAGTGAGATGTTCTCCTCCGTGTTCGAGAGCGATGGCCTGCCCACACCGCTGCGGCCTCACCAGCCGGCCCGACTCAAGCCGCCACCCCTACTTTTCCTGGGCTCTGCCCAGCGCCTCCTCTGCAGTGAGAGCCAGGAGGCAGGCTCCTCAAAGGTAAGGGGGGCTATCCTCAGCAGTGAAAACTCTCCTTCTTTCTTCTCTCCCCTCCCCTCCCCTCCCTGCCCTTCCTCTCTTGTCATATCCTCAACTCTCCTCTCTTCTATATGTATAGTTCCGTAGTTTCAGGGGAGGATCACCTGCTTTGTTATGCATAACTCATCTCCCCCGATGGTCACCTGTAACGAGAACCAGGAGGCCGGCTCCTGTCCCCTCTCCCTTTCCCTCTCCTCCTCTCTCCTCTCCTCTACCCTCCCCACCTCTCCTCTCCTTTACATTTCTCTCCCCAGTTCTCCTTTCCCCTCCTTGCCCTTACACTCTCCATAACTCCTCTGCTCTCCCCTTTTCTCCTCTCCTTACTCTCTCCTCCTCTCCTCTGGTCGTCTTATGCGGTATCCTCTGCAGAGAGAACCAGGAGGCCGGCTCCTGTCCTCTTTCCCTTCTGCTCCCCTCTCGTCTCATCTTCCCATTCTCTTCCTCTCCACTCTTTTCCTCTCCTGTCCCCTCCTGTCTTCTACCCTCCTTTCTCCTCCTCCTCTCTTTCTTGCCCTTACTCTCCTCAACTTCTCTGCTCTTCCCTCCTCTCTTTTCTCCTCTCCTCCCCCTGCCTTTCCTCTCTCATCTCCTCTCCTCTTCTACATGTATAGTATAGGATCACTTGCTTTCTTATTCTTATGCTCCTCTCCTCTCCTGTGCCCCCCCCTCCCCCACAACGTGCGTTTCCCCAGGACCCCCCGTTCCTGCGGGGCGACAGCCCCATCAAGGTGCCCTTACAGCCATCACCAGGCAAGCATGATACCCTGACCTCTGTGCTCTCAGACCTCAAGAGGAAGGGGCCCAGCGACACTTCTGGCTTTGCCCCCCCCTGCAAGGTCCTCAGACAAGGTACAGCAGCGACCTGCTTGGGGTTCCTGCTTGTTGTGTAGCCTGAAAATATAAATGTGCAAATCACTAGTGTTTTGCTTCGTTGAATTGTTTACTTTGCTAGCGTTTGGTCATCGTAGCGGCTGTGCTGTTGTGTCACTGTTCCCATTAATGTGCCAGAGAGAATAATGAGTGAGTGTTGATGTCTGATCCTGTTTGTGTGCCGCTCAGAAGCCCCCTGCTCCTCTCAGAATGCCCCCGCCCCCCCGCGGTGCAGAACGGTGCCCCCACAGCTGCTGGAAAGTGCAGATATGGAGTGTTCCCTCTGTATGAGGTAAAGACTCAGCCTTACCTTTTGATCAGATACTGTAATACTGTGTACTCTGTTTGCAGGTAGTTACTAGTTATTTACTGTTTAACTGACTGCAAATTCCTCACCCTGCAGGCTGTTTTATGAGCCAGTCGCCACGCCCTGCGGTCACACCTTCTGCCTCAAGTGCCTGGAACGGTGCCTGGACCACAATCCAAACTGCCCACTGTGCAAAGAGAACCTATCAGAGGTGAGCGCCCCCCCCCCCGACACACACACACAAACACACACATACACCGTGAGCGCCCCCTGGCTGCTGTTCGGGGGATGGCACATAAGAGTCTGATCTGAAACGCTCAGATGTATTGAGGTACCAGCTGTACTCTGAAGCATAACTGCCAAGGCACCTTGTAACATAAAGAATCAGAATCAGGTTTATTGGCCAAGTGTGCTCACCCACGTGGAATGTGTACGTGGAATGTGTACGTGGAATGTGTACGTGGAATGTGTTTCCCACTGTCAGTGGCTCTCATATAGCAGATACACAGTTAAGGCAACGGTCTCATACAGTGTGATTGGTATGTACAGCATGCATGTGTGGGTAATAAATGTACAAGAAGTGCAAGAGTGCATGTTAGTGCAAGGAACACTGAAACAAATACAGCAAGTACAGTACAATGAGCAGAGTCAGTTATTTACAACAATGATGTATTGTGGTGAAGCCAGACTGTGAAGATGAGAGTAACCTCAGGGGTAAGATGTTAAAATATACAATTTCATGTTACCTAGAATAGCCTGTGGGTGGGGGTGAAGTTAAGAATGGGCAGCAACACACTTTTCTACTCTAATACATGTGAGTAATGGTTATACTCATTGTGCTTTTTTTACATCTGAATTTCTACTTTATGATGTTATGTAATCTCTATGTGAGCAGATAATGTGAGATAAATGTGTTGCTAAAATATATAGGTTTTTGTTAATACAGGAAAGACTATAGGTAAATGGATATTGTCATTTTAACCTTTACATTTTAACCTTTTTTATTCCTTTAGAAAGCCCATCGGTAAAATTTTATGAACTTGTTATTGAAAAATAAGGTGGCTGTTAAAATGACAGCATATTGCCTGTACTGATTTAGTTGTTGCTCAATTTTGTAACCTAAGAATTGCATTAAAAATGTAACAAAATGTTTTTGTGTGTAATTGCAGTACCTGGCCACCAGGGGGTACAAAAAGACCCTGCTGATGGAAGAGGTGCTGCGGCGTTACCTGTCAGAGGAGCTGGCTGAGAGGAAGAAGATCCACGAGGAGGAGCTGAAGGAGCTGTCAAAGTGAGTGTGGGGAGTTGCCGTGACTCTGCCTCATTTACTGTAATAGGGACCCTCCCCCATCACTTTGTGGGAAAGTGTCATCATGTCCAAATATGGCAGCCTGTGCTGATGGACAGTGTTCTGCTTCTCCCGCTATCTGTATGGCTGGCCTTTGCATTTATAGTTAAGCATACTCACAAAAATAGCTGCTTTGTTTTATAACGTTAAACTGCTCCATCCGTAACTGCTAACGTAACTGAACATGCAGTTGTGGCGGAGGTGGGTCGCTGTGTTGGATTTCTTTGGTGCTTCCTTCTGACAGTGTCAGACTATTTCATTAATTATGCCCCCCCCCCCCCCAAATTCCCTGCCGTGTTGTGCCTGGTGGGTAATGCACCTGCATAGCAAAACCGATGAGGTCACGGAAACTAGTGGCTCAGGCAGCAGCCTCAGAACGTCTATTTGCAGGGCGTGGAGCGCACACCTGCCCGAAGTGCGGGACTGTTAGTCCACATCGGCTGGTACGCTGAGTGACAGGAACGGTGGACTTGCTCACATCAGGGTTGAGTGGTGCCTAAGGCTCCGGTTTCAGGCCGTCTCTGACCCGTGATGTCCTGCTGTACCATACAGTGCTGCTGTACCATACAGTGATGCTGTACCATACAGTGCTGCTGTACCATACAGCGCTGCTCCCCACATTACTCTCCTGCAGTGTCCTCTTGTGGGTGGGTTGGGTTTTTACTATGATGTATTGTGATTTATCATGATTGGTGGAAGCACATTGTAAGTCACATTGAATGAAATGACACTATAGCTCTGTGTAGCTGGTACCAGAAAAGAGGCTAGTGGGCTTTCACCCTTTTAAATACAGCCCGTTTATTAAAGCAGGACACAGAGAACCTTTTGACACAAGTTGCCTAATAAACAAACGAGCACATGTGAACTAGAGTTACCCATCCTTCCTAATAGTTATCAGATATCCTTTTACTGATGTCAGTGACCCTTTGGGCAGTGTCTCATGATCATCTCGCAGATGGTGGAGCCCAATTCCAAAGAGACTAAAAACAGACAAGCTCAAAGTTTATCATTGGTCAAAGCCCATTTTCAGTTGAAGTGAAGCCAGTACTACAGCAGAACCATAGAATGACAATCCAGTCATTATGTCAAATGGCTTAAATGAATCAAATTTTTTTCGCAGTACATTTCTTAAAATGTTTTCTAGTTTTTCTGCTGGACATAGTAACATCATCCAATGCAGCATGGTTGGCAACCACACGGTGGCGTGCCTTTTGGGGTCCCCAATACAGGTCTGATGGTTCATTTTTTCCACAGCTTAAACCAGGAAGTGCCCATCTTTGTGTGTACCATGGCATTTCCCACAATCCCCTGCCCGCTGCACGTCTTCGAGCCACGCTACCGACTCATGATTCGCAGATCCATGGAGACAGGAACCCGGCAGTTTGGCATGTGCATCGCTGACGAGCTGAAGGGGTGAGCAGGACCCTGACAGTACCCACGCCATACACACACATGCACGCACACACACACACACACACACATTTTTGCCATTTTTAGCTTTTTGATTGCAGTCACAGATTTTTATTAAATTGAGGTTATCCTTGCATGGACCAAAAAAAAAAGTCCCCACAATGTAAAAAGTAACAAGTTTTTATCACGTTGTGGGGAATCCTGGTCCCCACAATGTAATAATTGCTAAAATGCATGCACTGCCCACACAGATCCTATTTCTCGTGTCACTCCCTCCCTGCATGCCCATGATATATGTTTGTTTTTTAAATTCACATAATCTATTCCTAAAGTCCTGCTTCATAACATATTGAGCTAAAAGCATATTGACACCCGCAGTGAGATGGTGTTACAACTGAATGACCCATGTTACTCTGATCGCTGCAGTTGAAGGCTCTCATAGCTTTCGGGTATTCCTGAATAAACAGGAAGTGCAACACAGTGGTAGACTGTAGAGCCGGTTTATCTTATTGGCCTGTGATGGCCGGTTGCTCCCTCTGAGCACCGGAGTGCATGTAAGAACAGGTTTATCCTATCGACCTGCAATGGGCAGTGACTGTCCCCCTGAGGGACAGTCTGCATGTTAGAGCTGGTTTATCGTGCCAGCTTGCGATAGGCAGTGACTGTTCCCCGGAGCGATGGTCTGCATACTAGTGCTGGTTTATCCTATCGACCTGCAATGGGCAGTGACTATCCCCCTCAACGACGGTCTGCATATCACTGTGCAGGTTTGCAGACTACGGCTGCATGCTGGAGGTGAGGAACGTGAAGTTCTTCCCTGATGGACGGTCGGTCGTGGACACCATCGGAGTAGCACGCTTCAAAGTGCTGAGTCACGGCCAGAGGGATGGCTACAACACGGCCAAGATCGAGTACCTGGAGGACCGCAAGGTGTGTGTGTGTGTGTGTGTGTGTGTGTCTGTGTGTGCGCGTGCGCGTGCGTGATCTTCGGTTTCTGTGTGCATCTTTGCAGTAACTATGCTACCATCCTTTCCCACTTGTCAGGTGTTTGGGGAGGAGCTGGCTGAGCTGCTAAGGCTTCATGATTCTGTGTACGAGAGCGCCACCAGCTGGTTCACCTCGCTCAAGGACACCATGCGGAACCAGATCCTCAGCCATTTTGGCAATTTGCCAGCACGGGACCCCGACCCTCAGGTAGGGTACCCCCCCCCCATGTGACCCAGACAGCTCCATCCTGTGACTGTACTATCACTTGAAGCAAGCAGATCATTCCGCCTGAGTCATTTGGGCTTGAGGCTTGAAGGCTGCCTGTTCCCGTTTTTGCTTCGTTCCTTCACCCCGGTGGCCTGTATGTTCCGCCCCGCAGGGTTGCCCTCACGGTCCGGCTTGGTGCTGGTGGTTGCTGGCGGTCCTGCCTCTGGAGAATCGGGCCCAGCTCAGCATCCTGGCCATGACCTCGCTGAAGGACCGGCTGCTCGCCATCCGACGTGTCCTCATCTACGTGACCCGCAAAAGGGCACGGTGACGTCCCTGCCTGGCCCCGCCCCTAAGGGGCAGGGGTCACGCTGATACGGATTCCCAAAGATTAAGGGGGTCAGCCTGGGCTGTCTGATATGCCTCATACTAGCGCTCGCGTCCCACATGGGCTTAACTCTTAACCCTCTGCACTGCAATTTGAGCCCCCCCACCACAGATCCATCCGATTAACCCCCTCCCCCAGTCTCTGCTCTTTTACTCTCAGGTCTGGGCTGTATTCTGGGTTCTGACTGATCCATTTTTTTTTCTATGTCGTACATTTTGAAGAGAAAGAAACCAAATAATTAGTCAAACCTGAAAAGTAACTAGAATGTAGGCTTTTTGTTTTTGTGCTGCTATTCTGACTGCGGAATCCTAAAAGAGAGAACACGTGAGCCCTGAAAAATATGAATTGTTGAACGTCTGGTCTGTTACTTGGGGCTCCACTCGTTTCGTCTGAGATTTGGAGGTGTTTGTGACTTTTTGAAAGTGTTACCATTTTTGTGATTGTGCGATTTTATGTTCTGCCATTGTTGCACAATGTTGTATTTGAGTCTCTAAAAATGAAGTTGAACTGCAGTAGGCAGGGCTTTTGCATCACTCACAGATCTGGACCAATTAGCTTGGACCAGAAAGCAGTCGACCAACCTGAATGGCTGACCCAGCAATGTCTGGTCATGGCGGCCTGGTGCTGGAGCACCACTGAGACACCAGTGCTGTACACGTGTAAATGTAGCACCCTTCACCTCAAGTTTACATGCAAAGGCTGCTGCCGTTACGGTCCGAGGCTGTCTACGTTTTCGTAGACGTTAGAGGAATGCACTGCTCGACTGGGTTTGAGGCTTTGAGGGATTGAAGATACGGGTGTGGTTGCCAGACTGCACCACGCCAAACTGCAGTGGCTGGCCTAACACTCTGTGGTTAAGCCAAACTCTTCCATCAGGCTGCATGCAGTCTGCTTTTGGAGTGTGTTTTGTGTCCTGTGTTTAATCTTGTTATAATTGTTGTCTTTTTTTTTTTTTTTTGGAAATGTGTATCACTGGGTGTGTATTTTGTACGGTTGTGTTTACCTTTTTTATTCGGAGTCTCTGAATCTCCTCAGAGCTGGTGTGCTGTGGCTCTGTCAATGACAGCGTTAGTGCCGTCCCTGCTGTTTACGCTGGAGCTCGCTCTTAGACCAGGGGGATGGTGGTGGCTGAGGTCAGACTTGTACCCCTTACTGTGAAGCCTCTTTGGTTGTTTTTTGGTAGATGCAGGTACCTCCTGGCTGCCTTCAAACTTGCCAAGTGAGCGTCTTTTGTGAAATTCTCCTGGGTGGGACGCGGGGGGGGATTGTTACCGACTGAATACTTGGCGGTCAAGGGAACTGTGCTGAAATAGGTGGTTGTTGACTGTTTTGAAAGCACCTCCCTCGGTTTGGTAGTACGGGTTTATTTTTGGACCTGGATTCCTTTAAGTTTTGAGTAGCTTACTGGTAATTGGCTTTTAAGCTTGAATTTGCATTGATCCAGACCAGCCTCAAGTATGACTTTATAATTTTGAATGATCCAGTCAAAATGGTACACAGATAATTAGTTTGCAGTTAGCTTTGATAAATTACTGCAGTTTTGTGTTTTTATTATTATTTATTTATTTTTTTCAATGTCTGTACATGTACTTGACATTGTTGGTTTTTGTCTCATTGACCCAAGTGGATAATTTTACCATAATTGTTTCTGGAACAATGTACAATTTGAGGCCTTTACATGTTTTCTGTAAAATAGTCTTGTTACACATTTTATTTCTAACCTCTGCGTTTGCCATTTCCTATGTATATCACACAAAATGCTGCATTTATCGTAGTATTTGTACAGTAAAAAGATTTAATTTATTTTGTATTTCAATAAAACACCTGAGATATGATTTGTCTGTGATAATTAGTGGTGAAACTGCCATTCAATAATTACAGTAAGGACCCAAGAACTGACTTAACTGCAATTAAAAATTCTCCAGTTTCACTTGGGGTGGGTTGGGTTATTATCATTATTTATTATTAATAATAACTGATAACATTATTTAGTCGTCATTGTTTACATTTATTACATTGACAAATGATCAAGAATGTTGCTGCCACACTTAAAAAGGTTAAAAAAAATCACATGGTGCTCACCCAGTGAATTTCCCGATGTTTGATTTGATACGTGCAAAAGCATAACATTTTCTTTCATATGCTGATGACATAATTTGCACCTCACCATACGTATCTGCAATAATCCTAGTAAACAACTCTAAAGTTGAGATGTCTGCATGATAATTATCTTTTTCTAAACCGATAAAAAAAACACCTTGTTACTAGGCAATAACCCCATTTTGTAATAATGCCCTTGTCATAATTACGTAACTAAATTTTCATTTTCGCCAAAATAGCTCACAATCTTGGTATAATTTTTGATTCTTCCCTATAGTTTAATTTTCATATTAACTCCCTGCAGATTCAAAATGCAGCATCAAGAATTTTAAGACTAAGTACAGAATCACACATTCAGATGTCTTTCCACTGACTCTGTATACAAGGCACTGAAAGTTCAGGGTCCTGTTTACACCTAGAATGTACTCCCAAGGTCAGCATCCCTCCTGCAGCTCCTCACATAAAGAGTCTTGGTAATAAAGCCTTCAGCCACTGAGCTATCTAGCTGCAGACATAAAGATTTTCCTCCTCAGTCTCAGTATTTAGATCCAGGCTGAAGACCAAATTCTTGAGCCTAGTCTAGTTTGGGTTCTTCTCCATTATTGTCTTCTGGCTCTTATTCACTTTATCCATTTACACAGTTTTTACCATAAATAGTGGTATGTTAGGACATGCTACTGTTGCAGTCTGTGTTACATAAAAATGAATTGAAAAGATGCTACATAAAAATGAATTCAATTGAATTCTTTCAAGTGCATTTCATTTTCACCTACATACTTTTTGTTGTGTGCTACAAATAGCTACAGCAACCTATTCACAGAGACCACGGGATGCAGGCCTTGAAAATCCTTGAATAGATCATCCTTGAATAGAGGCTCTATAAGACTTGACAACTGTTTACAGTCTTAAATCTTAAGTTTTATTGTAAAAACAGTTGGAACAATTATGGTAACATATTGGCTTTTTGCTTTGTTTGACAGACTTGGAGCAGAGTTTCAAAAGGGCATAAACTATCAATGTTACAATCTCAGGGATTTTTTTTTGAGAAAATACAAATAAAAACATCAACCATTCGTAGGCGTTCAGGACACTAGAAATAGTTTTGAGTCACAGTTTTGGCGAGCCTTTCCTGAAATAGAACTAAACAGAGCTGCTCGTTTTTGCTTCTTCATGTTTCCATTTAGAGACATTGAGTGGGTGGTGACTTTCATTTCAGTAGCGAGACACTTATGCAAGGAATAAATAAATCATGCATGCGTGACTCCTGATAATTTTGAGCTGCCTACCTCATTCATCCTACTGCGCGTGCACACACACACGCACACACACACACACATACATGCACACACAGGTATTTTTTGCCTGATTATCCCATCTCATAATGTACACCATATAAAGCACCAGAGAGTGATTCAGGTTTGATTTCTCAAACCTGATATTCCACTTTTATATATTTTCACAGCAGATCCCCATTTAAATAGAAGGATATTAAAAAAATTTTAACAACTCTGCTTTAAGGGTAGAACAGAGGACTAAAGACAAGATCTTTATCAAGAAGGCCTGAGCTTCTTGTCTTCCAGCATAACGTACCAGTTGGTGTCAAGGACTCCTGTTCACTCCCCATCATACAAGAGCAACATAATAATTGGTTTTGTGTGCTTGGGACTTTGTTAATCTAGAATTCAGTTAAAGATTCAGTTAAGTTTAACCGGCTCAGACCATTTAGTACTGAGTGTGTGTGTGTGGGTTATGTATATATTACACATATATTACATGTGGGGACCAAATGTAAATTTTCTGGTCCTCAAAAGGGTAACCTCAATTTTATAAACATCTGTGAAGTTTGGCTTCTCATGGTAAAGGCTATCATAGCTAAGATTTGGATTACGACCATGTGTTTGTGTGGTCATGTATGTATTACATTGTGGGGACCATTATGTCCATAATGTCCCCATAATGTGATAAAAACCTGTTACGTTTTACCTTGTCTGGACATTTTTCTGGTACCCAAAAGGGTAACCTCAATTTGATAAAAATCTGTGAATGCAATAAAAAAACTAAAAGTGTTGTATTTTGTTTGGTTACTTATGGTTAAGATTAGGAATGAACGTTGTCATAGTTAGAATTAGGATTGTGTGTCTGTGTGTGTGAGAGAGAGAGATTTTTTATCTAAATTTAATTTGTAGTATATGTAGGACTCTGGGTAAGGCATGTTGGGAAATGCACTTTATAAAAATAAATTTCAGCTGAATTAAAATTTTTAAAATATGACTCTTAGCCCATCTGTGTGTGTGACATCTGTGTGTGTGGCATCTGTGTGTGTGGCATCTGTGTGTGTGACATCTGTGTGTGTGGCATCTGTGTGTGTGACATCTGTGTGTGTGACATCTGTGTGTGTGGCATCTGTGTGCTGCACATTGGGTCTCCTGCCCAGGAGGTCCAGTGCCTCATTCCCTGTGCTGCATTTACATTTACATATTTGGGTGAGGCAGATAAATTCATCACAAGCATACAGCTTTAAGAAACCAGTCCTGCTCGGTTAACTTTCCGTATCAGAAATGCTATATAAATAAATAACAGCAACAAATAAATAACAACAAGAGAGCCTATGAGGAAGTTTATTGAAGTGCTAAGTGAAAATTTTCAACCGGACAGTCATCAAAGACAGGGAGCTGAAGAAGGTCAGTGGTAGTGGAGGTATCTGGGTCTCATGATGTTTCTTGAAGGTGTGAGGACTCTGCAGGCTGCAAGCGCTATTTGAGCACTATTACATGGAAAGCTAGCATGAATACTAGAACAAAGGAACTGGATAATGTTCAAATATTACATATTGTCTCTTTCATTACCACAGTACATTTTACACACCTGACACTTTTAACCTTTTAACTGATGTGATGACAGAGTTTCCTACATGCTCAGTCAAGCCTAGTTAATTAAAAGCTAGTTGAATCCCAAGCCTGCATATCCATGGAGTCTCTGAAAAAAGGATTAACCTGCCATGTGCTAAAATTAGAGACATGCATTTGAGCTGGGGCAACCTCTTTGCCTGGTGAAATAGAGCCACCTAGTGGCTGTAGATGAAGTTAACATGCCCAGTCGGTTTGATAACACCTGCAGAGTCTGGGTTACATCGCGCACCTCTGTTTGGACTGTTGACACTGACAACCCACAAGATTCAATAAGCAAGAGATAATACGTTTATTTTTCCCCACCATGCTGATAGAGCTGCTACCTGTCCCATATGTTATGGGCAGAGGTGGGTAATTCAGGTCCAGAGAGTCCAGACCAAGATTTTGTTTCAACAAATCAGTTGAGAGTCATAGTCACTAACTGGTTAGTTGAAACAAAATCTTAGTCTGGCCTTTGACTCTCTGGACCTGAACTACCCACCTCTGGATATGAGATCTTCCTGTATTGAAAAATAAAAAGCTGTGTCCTGTTACGGGACGTGATTTGTCCCATGTTTTTGTACCCATTTCGTGCCCCACCCTCAAGCTACAATTCTCCAAGTCTTTTGCTCATGCTTACCATCACTTTATATATTTAAAAAGCTATTTCATGTGTTCTTCAGCCATTAGTTACGCAAACATAAGTCTTTGCTATTGCGTGTGTGGCAGAGTGAGAGAATCCCAGCCATTTAGATTAATAAGCATCATTAAGAATCATTCTGGACCCTGCATGTTCAGCTTGTGTTTGGGTGTATACCATTTCACTCCCTCCATCGAAAGATATGCCCTGAATATACCATCTAATAACATAATAATATAATCTTACAATTCAATAATGTAATATAACAATATAATAATAACAGTGAAGACACAACAGAATAACAACAGAAAAGTTTGCTTTCCAAGTGGGGGGCATTCGTATCCCTGCTTAACAGTGCATTACTGTATGACCTGCTAAACACACATCCACATCCCTGTTTAATGCTTCTATAGTGCATGACCTGCCAAACACATACCCACATCCCTGCTTAACAGTGCTATAGTACAGGGCCTGCCAAAACACACATCCACATCCTTGTTTAACAGTGCTTTAGTGCACAGCCTGCCAAATACACATCCACATCGCTGCTTAAAAGTGCTATGTCGCATGACCTGCCAAACATATACCCACATCCCTGCTTAACAATGCTATATTTATGACCTGCCAAACACACATCCACATCCCTGCTTAACAGTGCTATACCGCATGATCTGCCAAACACACATCCATATCCATGCTTAACAGTGCTATAGTACAGGGCCTGCCAAAACACACATCCACATCCTTGTTTAACAGTGCTTTAGTGCACAGCCTGCCAAATACACATCCACATCGCTGCTTAAAAGTGCTATGTCGCATGACCTGCCAAACATATACCCACATCCCTGCTTAACAGTGCTATATTTATGACCTGCCAAACACACATCCACATCCCTGTTTAATGCTTCTATAGTGCATGACCTGCCAAACACACATCCACATCCCTGCTTAACAGTGCTATACCGCATGATCTGCCAAACACACATCCATATCCATGCTTAACAGTGCTATAGTGCACGGGCTGCCAAACACATACCCACATCCCTGCTTAACAGTGCTATACTGGATG